ATAAACTCTTCTGTGGATTGAAATTCTCCAGCAGAGTCATTCGTCTAGTCATCTTCTTGAATGTCCACAGTTGGGCTGAAAATATTTTAAATTTTAAATTTAAAACGACAACAGTTCCTTGAGGTTTTCATTTCGTTTCATTCACCTCTTAAACACCTAACTGTTATAGTCCTTTACACGTTCTGATGTTCATAACGTTCAAGAGAAACTTGGGAAGCTCCGCAAACGTTGGGACAGAAGATTGAATGAAAATCATCCGAATATTAAGAAGGAAATAGCTCTTCGAATGAAGGTATGACGTTTCATGAAGATCGATGATAGGCTTCACATGAATACTTTCAAGGCTACCGAATGAAACAACGACAACAACTTAGAGAGCATGGTGATACACTAGCGGAGATCAACGAGAAAGCCAACGTGACAGACTTCATGTACCAAGGCGACATAGTACTAACCTCGTAAGGTTTCAGAACTTTTTTCAATCGTTCTGTTTACATTGAGTGTTCTGATTTGAGATTTACGAACTTTTCCAGAGAACAAGCAGATCAACTCATAGCTGAGTCATCAGCCATAGCCGATGGAGACCGTCGACGACGTCAGGCATATAGGGACATGTAACGCGTTGTTAGAGCCCCACTCAACAGTATATTCTCCTTTCAGTTTTTATCCAAAAACCATTTGGGGGTCAACAGTTTATTACTTCTATGACAACACTGCAAGTAAAAACTAGTTAGGAGAGACTGTTTTCTAATAAGGTATTGCAGCTTCTGTGGAAAGAAATGTCTTTGAGAAGGCAGTAGCTTACTGGAGAAACAGCACATGTATTGAGTTTCAGCAAAGCACAACAGGTTTTGAACTTCGCTTGATGAAAGAGGAGAATGAGAGTTTCAGCTGTTAACCGGATCAAAGTATTCAAAGGGCAAGGTTGCTACTCGTACATCGGAATGATCCGTGGAGTTCAAGAGCTTTCATTAGGAACTGGATGTGACTCTGTATAACAAGATGTTGATATACCTTATATTACCTTGTTCTTACAGGTTGGAACTGCCGCTCACGAATTAGGACATGCTCTCGGCTTCTTTCATACTCAGTCACGTAATGATAGAGATGAAGCTATAAGTATAAATATTCAGAACATCGTTGTGAGTTCAACAAAGTTCAAAAAAAAATGATGAAACAAGTTATTAAAAAAAATTCCAACTGGTTCCCCCTGTCTGCAGGTGAAACAGCGATTAGCTGCCTGCGGCATGGGTGAGAACTGCTGGCATTGACTCTTACGTGAAAATTCAAATGAAATGCAAAATATGCAAACCTATCTGAAAAATGAGAAAAAAGTTCACTTGCAGCCATCATATGTTGATCAATTTGATAAAGAGTCATCTAGTACCAATTACAACTATGGCATGCCGTACGATTACGGAAGTGTCATGCAATACGGAGGTTTGAGGTTAGTTGGGAACCTAACACAACGTGCTCAATGAAAGAAATTTGAAGTGCTTCGAGGAACAGTCAGCCAACTATGGTTGCCAGAGACATCGACTATCAGGATACTATGGGATCTGATATCGTGTCCTTCTACGATGTTTCGATGATGAATGAACATTATAGTTGTAAAGGTTTCTTCATTCTCAGTTTCATACTTTGATGCTTCAAAGTTTAGATAAATGTCCTGCCCAGACTTCGGCCAAGTGTACTAACGGCGGATATCCCAACCCTAGGAACTGTGGAATTTGTAATTGTCCTTCGGGCTACGGAGGAGCACTATGTGAACAGAGGGTATCTATAGTTGAGCTTTGAGTTCATAGAACTAATTTTTCAGCCTGATGATGGTTGCGGTACCACAGTGGCAGCAACTAACGATTGGCAAACACTGGAAGGATCAGTAGGGGATGGATCGAATAAGCTCCGAGATGAGTTCACTAAATGCAACTTCTGGATTCAGGTTCGAGAGAACTGCTGAACTAGTTTAATGAATTTTGTGTGTCAGGCTCCAACTGGTCAGAAAGTTCAAATTCGTATTAAGAAGTTCCAAGGTCGCTTCGTTGACGGATGTGTGTATGGTGGTGTTGAAATAAAAACTCATGAGGATCAAAAACGAACAGGATATCGGTGAGTAGATGAACAGGGAAAACAGAGAGAACACACATTTACTCTCTTAGCTTCTGTTCCACAGAGGATGTGGGTAAAACATTGGTATCTGCATCCAACATAGTTCCCATCCTGACTTACAATCGTCTTCAGCAGACAATAATAAGTGTTGAATACCGACTGGGTATACTGATACTTAGATTGTACAGAAACTAATTATGTTATTTGAAGCTGATGCCTCGTCTGTCGCTACAGCTACAATACCTCCAGTCGTTACAACAACGAAGGCAGCTTGTCTGGATCGAAGTAGCAAGTTGGTTTTATTTGTAGTTATCTACTTTCTGTTCAGAATTTGTTAATATTTTGTTCTTTTTGTTTGATTCACCCATCAACGTCAAGTTTACTTTCCAGTTGCGTGATCCTTCGCTATTTCAACTACTGTCGTATGCGTCAGGTTCAGAACCAATGCGCATGGTCCTGTCGTACTTGTTAAACGTGGAGAATGAAAACAAAAAAAGCTTTTATAACCTTTGTATCGCTTAGCTCAAGCTATGATATAAAAGAAAAATAATAAAGAGAAAAAGATATAGAGAGAACATGCATATGATGATGAGGGGTGGGGGGGAATGTACTATCTAGACAGCTTTCTTCCTATTTTGTATTTAATTGTACATATATTCTTCTTCAAGTTTCTTTTATGTGTTTATAATATTCAAATGAATATCCTTATTTGTAATTTTCATTTATTGCACAATCAGTTAGACACACACACATCATAAGACAATCATAAGGGGAGGATAGAGTGGTGTTGGAGGGTTGGGTTGGGTAGATGGCAAGATCCTCAATAAAAACAAAACAATCTTCTACACTTTCAACACTCTCGTTTTGATTTACTTCTAAACATTCACAAGAAGGAGGGAGAGAGAGATAGAGAGTGAGAGAGAGGGGAAAGAAAGAGAGGGATGAAGGGTGAGGAGACGCATGGAGCATAAGATATACGCAAACGGAGGGCACACATGACGAGAGTAACTTGCTATACCCGCAAGATTGTATTTCCATAATAATAAAAAAAATGTTGTTGCTAGAGGCAAAAACAAACAAACAAACAGCCACAAAAGACATTTAGGTTAAAGCACTTCAGAAGTTGAATCATCATCTCAAACGAATTCTACACGGCTATTGCTGTTCGTTGGCGAATCGTTATCCACATTCAATAAACTCTTCTGTGGATTGAAATTCTCCAGCAGAGTCATTCGTCTAGTCATCTTCTTGAATGTCCACAGTTGGGCTGAAAATATTTTAAATT